TATTATCTAGGTCCAATGGCAACAAGGCGGGCATAGTAACGGCTTCGAATAAAAATATATACTTACAACCACCCATCTCCCTGAGTAATGACGAGGACTCCTCAGTCAACAATAGCAGCAGTGTCAACCAACAACCGGTGACCACAGTAAATCATATACACTGCTGTGTGAGGACCCCAGTCCCTCAGGTTCTGCGACCTGGTCGCTACCTTCGAACCCATCTCAAGAGGTTGTGGAATCGTCACACTTCCGTTGGGATAGCTTCCAGTGCTCTAGACAATTTAATTGGATTCAATTTTCGTCTCCCGTAGAACTGAACTGCACTAATAAATTAAATTGCAGAAAGCCGAATCCGAATATTGCACAGTTTATCTGACAATCAAACTATAATCCATCTTCCCTACTTATTAAGCCCCCGGAAGTTGCTTTCCCGTTCCGGCTGCCATGCTACAGCCAGTCCACAAAACTCACCAAGCCCTCCTTGTGACTTACCGGATATCTTGAAAGCTCACATATGTGTTTCTGATCCAGAACTTGCAGAGAACTTTGGTGTCTTGAGTATCAGCTAAGTACAAAAGTCATTTCGTAGGTCATTTGCAGTGGGAATTAAGGTAGCGCTCGGTAACGCCCACTTCTGGGAGCTTTCAATTCACATGTAGTTAACCGCAATTGTCAAGACTTTAGAATGGGTTGTCCAGGCCGCTAAGCTTCGGCATTGTGTTTTTGGCTTAGCATACAAGCTTCATCTACATCATATGACAAAATCAAAGGAAGAAAACAATAGTAAGTCCAAATGTGCAGAAGAGATCATGAAAATATGTATACATATAGCTTGTTCTCTTTGATCCTCGCTGTTCTAAGGGTTGGAGCCATCTAGGTGCCAAACTTCTTGCTAGTCGGACTGTGGAGCCCTGCTAATGCAGACACATTTTATCGGATTTGGAAGAACTTTCTACCGTTAATGTGACCAGCTCCACTTGAACGGCATGAAACCGAACGTGCTACATGCCCCAGACCAATTGGCATCATATACCAGATCTCATTCCAGCCTCCGAGTGTGCGACAAACGACATCACGACACACGAGCTTACGCATGTTTTGTGTCTGCGAGCACCCGTTGTTTGGCATGAACCAAAAGCGACATCTCACCAACCCCGAGCGATGTCGGACATCGGCTGCGTCAGCGCTCGTCAGTTCAGCAACTTGGTCGCTAAATGATCCGTTAAACAGCTGCCACAATACGATCAATAGTACATCAATTCACACATCTTGTACATAATTTCTATATGTTTTCTTGATTCGTATCGCTTTCCTGACCTCTTGTGGGCTCAGTCCCCCAGCAAGCTGTACTTGTGATGAGGAGTTGTGCGGTCTTACATGGGTAGATCTTCTGCTTCGGTCTATAAAACCCCTTACCCTTGAACGGAAATCTTCAGCCCCTCATCCTAGCAGACGACTCGGAAGCAATGCCGAGCACTGAAATAACCGGGCCGGTCTGCGCTTCTCGTTGGACATAGAAGCGCAAAGCGACAGCAGCCTACATAAGCAAAGGGCGGGAAATGATCCGTATTCTTCTCGAGGCTTACCGCTAGCCCACGTATTCCTTGTATAATTACGGAAGAAAAAATGGAGTAGAACCTTCGGTCCGGATTTCGCGCCTTAAGCGCTGGAAACGTTTCTTTCGAAGAACTTCAGCACATTGCCCTGATTCAACCGTGGGCTGTATGATTGTGCTCATACGGTGCGACACACTCCGCATCACAGCCGCGACAACCTGTCCCGCCTTATGTACGTACTAAGTGTATATATGTAGGTACCTTAACCTACTTGTCTCAAACAGCGTTAATCGGCCCCATCGTAAAGCATTAGCGCCCCAAACGTGGGCAATGTTACACCAGATCTGATAGATCGGCACTTGTCGGATCTGGCCACCACGGCTCCACTCCACCATGCAATGGCCATAAAAAACCAGATCGGCGACCCTCCAGCGCTTGTTTCTAGCCGCTGAGAAGATATATGCTGTCAGTATCAGACCACTTGTGATCAAGTACAGTATAAGCAGGCGAGAAGAAACGCGTGAAGGAAAAAAACTTGGAAAACCTAGGCTGGGACAGGACGGACTCAGCTGCAAGTTGTCATATCTTGCGCACCATCATAGCCGATCTGGCACGTAAAAAAAAAGCCACAGCAAGCCAAGGACGGCTGGGCAAACTACCGCAGAAATCTCATCATAATTCGAGGCCTGTATCGGATGGCGCACTCGGTGTGAAGGTGTGCATCCGGCAGACAGCAAGTGAAATAAACAGCACCACTCCATCAGTCCTGATCTTTTTTGTTCACCGTCATCGGCCGGATAGCAGCAGCAAAGCCTCGGCGAATCGAAGCGGTGTGACGACAGACAGCAGGTGGTAGTAGTTGTGATCAAGCTAGTGTTGTGGAAGGGCGGTAGGCACGAAAAAAAAGTTGAAATCTTAACATCCAGCAGGAGCCGTGATGGCTCAACTTACACTGAGCTGCACATCATTGTATTGAGCGGCGAAGCAGGCATCCATAACTTGCTCAAGAGGAACAGAAAGAAGATAGTAGGAGCGCGGAAAAACTCTACCGCCCTCAACTGCTGCGCGAAGCAGAATCGGTCGATTCTTGAATGTGCCTTGCTTTCATCACAAACACTATACCGCAACGCCCGAGTTTCCCCAGCTCCGAAGTCTCTCTCGGTTCTGTCGACTGGGGGCCGACTTGCTTTTTTGGCTCTCAGCCCCCAAGTGGTTGCACAAGGCCCTTACAGTGGGAAGGGCCGGGTGGAACCGCAGCCAGCCTTCTGACCCACACAAACCTGGTTAACATCCTAAACAGGAAAGTGGGGTAAGCTTGGGGTTAGGGTGAGCCCCACTGCTCTACGCCAGATCGATCGGATGGCGGGGATGTCATCCCGCATCAAGTGATATCGACCTTGTGTTGCATTGTGGCCAATATCCTAAGATGTGAATTAGCGAAGCTCCGGCAGCTGAAATTGGTTTCTAGCCAGTGTAGCGCTGCGTGTGATGTTCTGAACAACAATATCGTAATTTAGCCCAAAACCGGAAATCTTGCGGGTATATTGTACCTAGGGAGGTAGCGTCGCCAACAAGAGATGCCCGATACACATAGAACATCTTATACATGGACGACCTACACTGTCCTGGATGCACGATGCTCTCCTCATCATGGTGCACGGCTGGCAGTCAAGACTCGGTGCAATCACAGTGGAGCTCGAATTCCTCCAAGAGAATGCACCTGCACACAAGCCACGTCCTGCACTTATCCGTCATTCGCACCTGTGGCCAACCTGGAGACCCATCACGAGCATAAACTCGGGCTATCCTTTTTGTCAACTTCAACATTCTTTCCTTTGACTGGCTCTGTGTAGTCTGCATCTTGAATGCTTCCACTGTAACCGAGAGATCAAGGCAGCGGCGCAGTCCTAACCGAATGGAAGTCCCCAAGCAGCTCTGATCATCACTTAGACCACAAACCAATGAACGATTGAGTCAAGCAGAATTGATCTTATAAAGCAAAGCAACCAGTCTTCAGCATCTTCTGCGGCATAACTAGGATGCGGCAGGAGTGTGCTGCGTCTGGAAAAACCGCCTACGACCCGGTAGGTCGTCGGTTCGAATCTGGTTCCCCTCACCTCCTTTTTGAAGGAGGAGCGCTAATCAAAATCTTCGAGACCAAATACCTTCACCTTCTGGTCTCTGACCAGTTGACCCACCATGTCTCCGCTTGGGCCAGCGGGCAAACCCTCCGCGAGAGTTTTCTGCCAAAGAAGGGGTTTCAACTGTGCACTGTACTTAGATGACCTATGCCCTCTGCCATCATAGGCACGACCTAGTACCATAGATTAGGTAGAAGTTGGGTTTTTTTTTAAAAAAAAACAAAATACGCTCTCCCCCCCCCCGGGGATGCGGCAAAAGGACTAGCATACAGCTAGCCGCCGCAGTCGAGTCAGATTGTTTCTGGTGTGGCTCTGATCCGAATGCATTTGTCCAAGTTGTTTCGGCGGGTACATGCATTGAAGGAATCCGTAAGAGAAGGATAACAACAGAACGAAAGAGGGATAGAAAAGTCCAGGCTCAGTAGGCTAGGCTATCCTAATACCAAGATTTTCAACAACTCTCCACTGATACAGCTCATATCTGAACCTCCGTGTCGAAGGTAGCACGGCGTTTGTGATCTTTACCTGCCTATTGCTTCCAACCTTACCGATTACGAATTGCAAGATGCTACCCCTGTCTCTGATCCAGGAGACAAGTTCGATCGACAGCAACACAGGGAGGATATATGCTTGTGGGATGAACGCCAATTGTGCGGAGTACCTAAGCTGGTATCCCTGAGTGTGACAGCTTTCTGCTGTCCACCACAGTATGCAGATACAGGGGTCAACTAGAGAATGGTCACACTGCATCGCGCCGTTTGGCTGCAGACTCGCAGCTGTAATGGATGCGATGACCAATTTCTGGCCTAAAAGCAACATTGTGTACTGGTACAGGTACTTACTTCTCCAGGCATCCCTCAAGGATCATCGTACAGTGTCACCAGTATTTTGACAACATACCATCACAAGGGAGGAAAGAAAGAAAACTTCGACAGGATTGTCATGTTTAGTATTCGTATATCCTTTTTGTCCAAAAGCATACCAGTGGCGCTCCCTTTGCAGGGCATCAAGCGTAGAAAACTTTTAGCTGGAAAATTTACCAGCAATGCTAGCAAATGCTCAAAATATTTGCGCACCGTCTCTCCACATGTTTTTTTTTTCTTTTCAACCGGCCAGGCGACCCTTACAAATGCATTGCCATCATGGGGAAATGCCAAGGTTGACCGTTAACGCCGCTATGACAGTTCTTTTTGTGCCACCGGTTCCCTTTGTACCCACATGATGAGAAATGGAGAACACAAACAACAAACATTAGTAGGCGAAGATATCAGTGAAAAGCAAGCTTGCACACGAGATTTGTTGATTAGTTCGGCTGGTCGCGAAGGGGGAAGTAGTAGGCGGGCATCGGCTCCACGTGCCAAAGCCGGATGCCGTCGGCCCTAAAGGCCTCGTGCCACTCGTCTTGAAGCTCTGCGGGGATAGGCCAGCCATGCTCGGCACTGCGCAGGCGCATGCGAACCAAATGGCGCTTCTCTGTTGGCAGCTGTCCGTTCACAAAGCCATCTCGGCGGTGAAGAACGGACAAATTGTTTATGAAGTGGATATCGCCTGCTTGAGTTTGAATCTCTAGCTGCGTGGCCCGCGCGATGGCCTCAATGGCATCCAGAGCTTCCAACTGCCGCCGAGTTACCGAGGGCAGATGCTTTGGGCGGGGATGAGCCTCATTCCCCAGAAGAGGAGCCCGGCCGAAATTCATAATGAGCTTCTCGCCCTCGTAGAAAATGATTGGGCGACAATGGAAACGCGGCCTACAGGAATGACATGAAGTTAGATGCTACCCCAGGTGTAAAAAAGCCCGGGTCTAAGATACATACATGGCAAACGGCCAGTCGGACCGGGCCAAAGTGCGGATGAGCTCGGGCCGAGTGGCGGCCAGAACGTTGTATATTGTGTAGGCGGATGCAATAATGCACTTGCCACCAGCAGCAGCGGTACTACGGGTCAGCCAGCTAATAACGTCGCCAGCTTCTTCATTGTGAAATGTCTGACAACTGATTAGTGCAAAAGGAAAAAAAAAATCCCTTGGGGGTTGGAAAATATTCTACTCACAATCGACTTCGTAGAGTGGCGGTGATGGTCGGCAGCCTGCTTCGTGCTGTTGTCCGCAACAATGTGGACTGTTAATGTTGTCAGCAAGCAATTGGGCATAAAATGGGATTGAGGATACTGACCAAGCATGTTACCGCACTTGTCTTGGCGGCCACGCTGCTCGGCAACATAGGATTGCACACCGAGGTAAGCAAGGGTGAGGTCGGCGACCGAGTATTCGGCTGGGTTGAGGCCGCGAATCACGGCGAATCCTCGTCCATCGTGCACGTCGCGACTGATCTGCTTGAGCTGAGGGCCCAAGGTTGGAAGTGGGAAGTTGGACGGGCCGACAAGGTCGCCATCCTGGTCGAGCACTAAGCAGATATGTTAATGCCGGGAATGATAAGAGGCCATGGGCAACCAAATGAGAGCGAGGAGCTGGGACTCACATTTATAAGCCTCAACGGCAGCCTTGATCTCTGCCTTGTGGGCATCGGTCAAGACGAAGATATGCTCGGTCGTGTTGTCAAAGTCGGCACCAGTCCAGGCCAATTCTGACTTGAGCTCGGCCGGGAAGCCGGGAGGGAGGTCGGTAACGTCGGCACTAGCATTGACAGCATGGGCCAAGTTGGTGCTCTTGCCAGCGATTGGGGCAATAGCCGCAGCAAGGATGGGTCCGGCGCCAACAGCCGACATTGTGACGGACAGGTGGATTCTCTAATATGCGGCTCAGCAGCCTGCACTGGGCTGGGGTGCATGAACAGGGGAGGATTGCTCGACTTGGCATTTCTGCCCGTTGAGCATCCGTGTAAGTGCTCACCTGAAAAAAGGAGAGCCGTAAAGTGCGCAGGGGCTGGGAAGAACGATGTCATCAAGGACAAGCAATGCCACGTTGCCTCGGGAGAAGGGGGTGGCAGTTCTTAATTGTCTTGTCGTGAGGTGAGAAGACGGGAGGGACCGAGGAGAGCTCTCAGGATCGAGGAAGAAGCAAGATTATAAGAGCTTGTAAGGATAAGAATGAGCGATGATTTGGCGATTGGTAGCACAAGCAAGACCGCCAGCAGCAAGTATCCTAGAGCGAGGTTGAGATGGTGACGATGCTGGTTGAGTGGCCGTTGCGGTGCCTGTGTTCATCTCGAGGAATGAGAGACGGACGGGCCGGGCATGGCAAGGCTGCCGCGGATAAAGCCTTTCTGCTGACCGGTGAGGAGCAACAAAAAAAAACATTCAGGTTCGGGATGGGTGCTTTCCCTACATGGCGGGCAGGGCACGGATGGTCATAAACTGTAACCGGTCAACATGTCCAATGTCTACCTGGTACCTAACTATCTACCTGCCTAATACCTAATCCAGGGGAGTGTGCGAGAGGTTGAAGTGGAGGCTCACCATGCGCACACTTGCACACTGCAGGTCGGGTCTTTCTCACGTAGTCACACGCCCTTCCCCTCTTGTCCCCTCTTGGCATGAAAGATGGAAAGTGATGAGAGTGTGAAGAGGTTGAGAATTGGCTAGCAAACGGCTAACTGCCTCCGGGAGAGCTGGTCGGGCCGGAAAGGGAGCCGCCAGTTGGGGAAAGAGTCGCAGAGGGCAGCTTGAGGCTTGCCAATTTATTGTCCGGGTCACTGAGTAAGCGTCGTAGGGGGCAGAAGCAGGCACTTCCGGGCTATGCTGCGAGCATCAGAAGTGCCAGGCGCTGCTCCACTACGCTCAGACAGGTTAGAGGGCAACTGGGATAGGATAGAATCTTTCAAGTTTCAACACACGCGGAAGGGACCTGGCATGACAAGAAGCGGCGTAGATGGTCTGGGCGAGAGCGGCGTCCGCGCCACTTAGGGTACCTACGTCCCCCTCGTGGACTCGCCCACCCCCTTGTTCAGACCAAAAAAGCCAAGCGAACTAGGATCATCCGCCCAGCCAGGCTGTTCGAGCAGGAACAGAGATCTAGGCCGAGATCGCCGCTACATTAGCGGGATCTACGCCGAGAGAGATTTGGATGAGACTGATACCGGGCGCCGGACGCGAACATGACGTGTGGATAATAAACAGCGAGCCATTATGCTCTCCATCGTACGGTTCCGGCTGCATCCAACTCGAATGAGAAGGCAAACGAGTGGAGATGATCCCAAAACATCATGGGAGATACGGTAACTGGGGGATGTGTGTGTGGTGTGGACTGTGAAAGGAACCAGATCGATGGTTTTGACGTTTTCAAAACTAACGACAAGTGTCTAAGAAAGACGAGGAGAGAAGCAAGCCGGCTCCTATTCGAGTCTAGCCAACAAACACGCGAGCATGACCATTTGAGCCATCTATACCCAATCTCGTTGGCATCAAAGTTTGTACGACAGTATAATGCCCAAAGGCGTCTGTTGTCCGCAATAACACCTGCAGAAGAATGCAAAAAAAGGCCGCTGGCATGCACGCCGACGAGAGCTATGTCCACCGAGTAGGTTGCACACTGGTGCGCTAGGGAAACAGTCTGAGGTCAGCGTTCAACGGGTCTTGGGCAATGGCGGGTATGTGTAGATGTAGGGCCATGCTGAGCAAGCGTTTGCAGCCAGCACGGCTGCCCGATGGCCGAGCAGACTCCAATTGCCGTTGCCGCTGGTTGCTTGCTCGACGCGGTCCGACACTCTGCTAGGGGAGTCGGGTGCTGACTGGTGAAGAGCACGATCGAATACGAGCGTGAAAAAAGGAGGAAAGGAGAAGCGAGAGGATGGGATGCGGGGAAGAGGGGGGGATGAAGAAGGCCATGCTGAGATTGGAACTGATCCCTTCCGTGAACCACGAGAAGGGCTAAAAGCAAAGCAGCCTGGAGGGAGCAAGACCCGGAGTAAAAGCATCAACAGCCCGGCCTGAGTACAACCGATGGAAGCACCTCGGAGGTATGCGAAAAGAGTTCGGGTCGACTCAGCGGTCCTCTGCCGCTAACCGCCATCCGGGTCTGTTGTCTGCCGTTGCGAGGGTCCAGGCCAATGCTGCAGAAGCAGCATCAGGAATGAGGGATACGACACGCGACACGTTCTCCAACACAAAAAAAAAAGAAATCTCAGATCTGATGAGCTGCATTGGGGAAACTGGCAGCACGCGACACGCCAGGCGAGGGGAGTAACAAGCCGACATGCTGCAAATTCTCATGCCTGCGTTGCTTCTGTCACTTGCTTTTTGCTTGTGACAAGGAATGCTGGAAGGGGCGGGGTTCCATCATCAGCCATCTCCTCGCGTACCTAACCCCAGAGCCGTGTAGGCTGATTCGTTAAATCCTTGCCATCAACTTCGCCGAATCTCCACGTCTCTGCCCTATGGAAGCGGAGAACCTTGGTTTTGGGACCTGGGCGTGGGTGGAGCATGGGGGTGGGCAAGCCACCAAGCCTGATGAGCAAGTGGGGTTGAGCCCGAACTAGCGACCTCCGGGCGCGAGGAGCTCTGCTTGATGGGAGGACCCCATCCTTCACCTCTTACTGCGACAGGCTAGTTGAGCCGCTCTCTCTGTAGTTTTAACAGGGTAGAAGAGAAATCTGTGGATACGACTGCTGTGTGCTTGTCGCCGGACATATATAGCAGGCGCAACGACTCCACAGCACGGGAGCAAAGTGTGACGGAAGGGCAAAAATGTCGTTGGGCATGTATGGATGGACGCGGGAGAATTCCCCAAGAAACTGCGTACTGGGCAAATAGCCTGGGGGGGGGGGGAAATCAAGATGTCATGAATAGCAGCAGCAGTCGCAAGAGCAGAAGGAAACGTCGTGGTTTAGATAGAAGATTGCAGTTGGCAGCCATTGGCCCAAAGGTTTATAGCCAAAGTTTGGCCTGGGCGCCTGGCTGGAGTCCGAGCCTGGCCCTCCGAGCTGTGGGGAATGTGTTACGAGCACAGCGGCACTGTACAGGCATGCCGGGTTTTTGTTAACTCCTTGGCGAGGTTTTGTGGCGTTCTTGGACGCCCTTGGGTAAGCATTCTTACCAAGGTGCTAACAAAACAAGCCCTGGCACATCTTGCATACCTGTCCTGAATTTGGTCTGGACAAGGCCCATCAATCTACTATCGGAAGTCCTGACCGAGGTTTCTTCCGCTGCTTCCGGTAACAACGCCAATGGGATCTCCGGGAAGGATGCAACTAGCGCTGCAGGCCGATCAGCATAGTGTAAATTTGGAAAGGCATCCGAACAATACCCAAGTCTAACCTCCAGTGTGATGAGACGTCATACGCCGTGGTGTACCCATAAAGGATGTGTATGTACCTTTGTATGCCCAGAATAATCCATCGCGCGCCTGATTAACCAACGCCTTCCTCTTTTTGTACGCATGCATCCAACAATCTGCAAGTGTCGAGAGCCAAACCGCCAACGCCGATGTCCATGTTCAGTCCATGCCGATGTTATCACAGTGTTGTCAATAGTCTGTGGTCCCTGCCCAGTATGCCGAGTAGTGAAAACCTGGGAACTCCCCGGTTCATGACATTCTAAACCATGGTCCGGGGCTGCCAGCTTTGCTCGTAGAGCTGGCTGACATAGTAATACTCGTTTTCGTAGGCATTTGACTCCCACAGCTGCGCCCATTCTTTCTCTGAATGTCCCGTATCAGCACTAACTGGATAGTAAAAAAGTGAGAAAAGAACTTACTGTGTTCTGCAACAATGCGTCGCGTATAACGCACAAAGTCGAGGCCGTTGTCATCTAACTCGGCGAGGCTCTGCAGGTCCTGATCCTTGCACTCGGGAGAAAAAGGATACACTGCTTTGTTACAGTAATGGTAATAGGCAAGCAAGGTGTTCGCTCCAATATTGTATTCCTTAACTGTTTCCTCTCGCGCGAACCGACGCTACAGGGACCATGTCAGCACTAGTATGCCTAATGCTGCCCATTTATGAAGCAGAAGACCAACCTTCAGGTCATGTTTTTTCGCGTACTCGGCGTCGTGCTTGGTAATGAGAGCGATGTTGTGTAGGAGAATGAAAGTGACCAGATAAGTAGTGAGCCATGTCTTTTGCTTCTTTTCCTGTGTCATCTTTTGAAGTTCTTCTAACGTTCTGCGTCGTAGTCGTGGCTGGATTTGGTGAATTAGAACAGAATCGATCTGTGCCCCCATGACCGGTGGCAACGGAATCTTCCCATAGAGCGGGTTGGCCTCATCGTCGATAATATTGCGCGGCATGCCAAGTGTATCTTCGCCCACAATCTCGAACGATTTAGTCGTCAGCCGGACAGACATCCAAAGGTCTAGCGTGGCTGAGAGTAAGCTCTTCTCCGCCGGTGGAGTCGATTGATCCTTGGCCATGTCGATCGCCAGAGCATAAGTTTTCCAGAGAAAGGGGTCTCTCGAAGCCACAAGATTGTTGCAGCATTCGTACATATGATTCTTGATGTACCGATCAAACGCTGCGCGGGCTTCCTCCATGTTGACGATCGCGTATGGGGGAATTTTGACGCGTTTCTTCACACCATTTGACACCCACGACCTCTCGAGACTGTCACCTGGCAGTGGCTTGAATTGCCGCACCCGCAACCTAACAGACTGACCCGTGTAGCCTTCGGTGACGTGGATTGTCCTGATCTCAGATGACTCCCAAGTGGCAATCTCTTCCATGACATTGTCTTGCCAGCGTCGGGTCCACTCTTGCCCCTTGACTTGGCCGGGCTTGAAAAGCCGGACATCAGTGATCTTCCAGCGCAGGCAGTTTAGTCGGTATACCCTTGTGTTCATGGCTATCTTCTTGCATGACAGACAAGGACCCCTTTTATTCTCCGGGTCCAAGTTACACTTACAGCAGTGTTAGCAAGAAGCCCTTCCCCAGAGTAGTGAACACGATGCTTACCCGAATTCGCTGCATTCGGCACCGAATACAACTGCCAATCTTTCTGGTGAGAGCAGTCTTTTCTCGCTGATCTTGGTCCTTAAAAGGCCCACGCTTGACGGGCGTTGACCTTTGTGGTGGACAGAAGTTGAGGGATGGGATTCTGTCCTGGTTATCTGGAAGAGCTCCAGCGCTGCGCTGTTCCAGTTCAAGATTCAGAATTGGGAATCCAGGAGGAGCGAGACTCATGAGGGCTTTCTCCTCGTCATAGTTTGTCGGCAGTGCGCTGGCAGCATAGCCATTCCCAAGACTGCTCGATTGTAACGACACACTTTCCAGGCTAGATGCTTGGGGACTTCCCCCGTTGCTACCATCTGTGACAGTGACAGGAGACGTGACCGGGTAGATCATCTCTTCTCTGCCAGTAGGTGGCTGGATTCCAGTCACAGAGGTTGGTCGCATTGGAGGATAGTTGGGCAAATATGCGTCAAGAAGGAGCGAGGTATCACATGGGTACAGCTGGGCCGGGCTGGCAGCAATAGTGAGTGGTGCAGATGCCAGCGATGCTGGATTCTGAGACGTCAGCGCCGCGGTCACTGCGTTTGTGGAGGCCGACCCGGCATCGTCAAAGTCATAGGACGGTGGTGTCAGAATGGGTTGGTATGCTGGGCAGCACAGCCAATTTGGTCAACATCTGGTTTGTTTACATCCCCATCAGGAGATAACAGGGCAAAGGATGGAAACACATACCAGGCGAGGAATCAAACGGAGAACATGGCTGACACATAGTGAAACTAGCAAAGCACTCGGCCAGACGCGAGCTGGTCCATCCGGATGGGATGCCGTCGTCAGGGAAAAAGCCAAACGCCTTCCGTCCAGTATGGGAACCGACATTTGACGAACTGGCAAAAGGGGCTTTCTCCTTCGTATCTTGCCCTGACCGTCCATTTGAGTATGACATTGGCATGGAGAAGTCTGTGTTCAGACGCGGCCTCTTGTGTACGGGACCTGGAGCATTGGTGAGACCCAGAAGGTCGGGGAGCGGCTGGTGAACCCCGTTGGCAACTTGCTGCAAAATATACTGCTGGTTCTGTTGGTCACCCAGGTTCAAGAGCCTGTCCAAAGATATCGTGATGGTTACCTGTGTCGAGGGATCCGGAATCGGTATATACTCGGACTGATTAGGGAACAATGGGACCGAGTTGAAGGCGAATTGGGACGGAGGAGGAAAGTTTTGGAACATTGGATCCGAGGAGCTGTCCTCGGCCGGGTACCCCCGCCGTTTCCTGATATTGATATTATTCTAGACATACATCATCAATTTCACCGCACATTTATGAGCACAAGGAGAGACAATTGGAGGACGGGGCGGTGGCAAAAAGTTAAAAACACCGGTGAAAGATGGCCCATGATGGGGAATGGGGTAGCGCAAAGATTTGACAGGGGATTGATGTTGTTCCCCGAGAAGGGCTGAAATGGTGTAGAGTGCTTGTGTCTAAGTGACACGAAGGGGGTGGGAGGAGAGAGGGTCACGGGGTGCATTGTCTGAGAGTTGGTGGGGTAATAAGAGAAGCAGGACTGAGGCCAGGGAAATTGTCAAGAAGCAGATGTATAAAAAAGGAAAAGAAGGTAACCAGAAGGAAGAGGCATGCCATGTCCAATATGCAGGCTGCCGCAAGTGTAGAGGGAAGAACGGGGGAACTCTTACCATATTGACGAGAATTGGGATGGAATGTCCAGGCCAAGACCCAGAAGCAAGCGCAGACGAACTCCCTCCCAGGGCCCGTCTGGGGAATCAGAAGGGAGAGACTGGCAGACCAGTATGGCACTTTGGCCGGCAGCTCGAGAGGTCCACCCCGGAATGCAAGGGGTAGTAGACAAGTACTTAGGCAAGCAGTCGGAAGTCTCCAAGCAGCAGGACCGACTCAACACACAGAGCCTTTTTTTTTGTGGAGAGGCTCAACAGTGATACCAGTATTGTTGGAGGGTAGGGAGGGGTGTGATGGGGAGACGTAAGCATCTCACGAGTGCGCCGTTGCCATCGCTATGCTGGCAGGCCGAAGAACGAGACGTTGTGGAGACCTGTCTGCTTCAAGAGACAATAGTCTCCGGGGCGGATGTTCACTGAAGGGCCGTGACGGTGCGAGGTGAGCAGGCGTGTGAGAGCAAAAAGCCCCGAAACGGGTGAGTGAGGAGACGGCGAGCAAGGGGCGGGCAGATGGGGCTAAGGACAAGATCGGCAGACAGGATAAGGTAGCACAAGGTACAGATTCAGACTGCTACCATCCCTCTTCTGGCTTGTGTCGGAGAACCCAAAGTCTGCCGGATTCAGGCGCCTGTTTTCTCGCTTGCTTGAGTGGTTGCTCGCTAGCTCGCTCGACCTGCAGGAGCAGTGAAGGAAACTAGTACAAGTCGGATCTCCGCCGTCTCTTCGCAGGAGCTGTGGCGCCAGAGACTCAGATAGACAAGCTCTGAAAAAAGCGGCTGCTTCCGAAGCTTTTTCACTCTGCCAGAACTTGTAGCTTCTCGGCCAGAGTGAGGAGCAGCTAGGCACGCTGGAGGGATAAGTTGATGCGACACAAGCATCCAGCGGGGTGCCGAAAAAAAGCAGGCACTTCGAACGCGCCAACACACCTCAGGGCAAATCGATGGGCTGCGCCTGGCTGATGCGCGAACGCACCGTATCGTCAACAGTGGCTAACAAATATCAGAATGCGACAACTGTCGACGCCCTCTTCAGCGCGACACTGTCGCGGTGCTGCGGGCGGGGGCGATGGATCGCAGGTCTTGTGCTGTACTGCCCAGGCCCGGGGAAAATAGAGGCTCGGCGTCCTGGGAGGGCAGGGTTGGTTCTCTGGTAACACGCGTGGTGCTGCTTCACGGTACAGACCAAGATCAGGCTTGTGGTTGTTGCTCGGTGGAGTCTAGGAGAGCCGGTGAAGAATAGTATTGTCTCGTTTGCCGCTAAAGTAAGGAATCGGTGAAGAAGCAGGAGGAGATGCGAAGTGAAGAGTGAGAGTTTCCAGGTTCACCGGTCGCGGGGGAAAGGCGTGGGCTGGCCCCAAGGACCCTGCTGCCTCCTTGCTGCTGCGGGTTAGCCGGGTAATCCGTGGGACAGGGACAGGGCTGCGGGGACCAGGGAAGCGCTAGAAACCCTGAAGCCTTGTTGGAAGTTCTGGAACAAGCGGAGCATGAGCACCAGCATGCCAACGCCGTGGGAAGACGTGGTACGGATTAATCGCTGCAATGCAAATGGGCAAAAGAGCGTGTGGGAAAATGTGAAAATGCGACCTGACAAGGCTGATGAGGTGCGAAAATGTCGGCCATCAGGCCATCCGTGGCTAGTGCGCTGTCAAAGCTCAGCAGAAGCTTCTTTGGCTTTTCTTTCACCCTTCCCAGCCGCGCATGTCATACTTGGCTCTCATCAAACGGCACCTCCCCACAATCCGCCCGGCTGGATAGGTAGCAAGCTGCACTAGCGTCGTCGCTCTGTGGAGCCTGGAGCCTGGACCACCAGGTAACGGGCAGTGGGTATGTACGCGAACAGTACTGTCAACGTCATTGTAGCAACGCAGCGATTGCTTGAAGTGCTGCTCGAGTCGAGTCCACGATTGATTTCTTCCCCAGGCTCGCTCACACAGTTCCTTCAGCATGCCGTCTTCCGAAGCTCTGAGCCGGCAAATAGGCAGGGTGACAATCCGCTCGCACCGCCAAGCTGGACGGTTCATCCACGGGGACATGATGATTGCATAGAGGCTGCGGCCTTTCCGTCCTCGCAGCCAATGGTATGTCAGCAATATCATGGGCTGCGGCGCGTCATTGGCTGTGATCCGCAGCAGGCAAACAGGGTGTGCTTGGCTTCGGAACGACCATGGAGAACATTCGGTAACTTGCTGCCGAAACGCTGCTCGAAAGTTGGGCTCCAACGGTTCTGCGATGTGGTTCGCTCGGTTGATGTCAATGAGAATCTGTTGTGCTTGATTTGCTTAGGTAGGCTGCTGGGCAACAGACATGCATGGAACAAGATGAGAGCTGTGACAAAAGGCCAATGCTCCCTGGGTCTCCACGTTCGAACGAGGAACCCCACTTTCGCCATGTGAGCCTTGGTACCGTCTGGTCGTGGGTTGTTACAGAGTCAAGTGACCGACCAGACACCTGGCTGGCAGCAGCTTATCATGCAAATGTTATGATGTGTTTAAGTTCTCCCGACACAAAATACAAAAAGGGCCTAATCTCCGAGCCGCTGATGGGAAATTGCAATGAGACACGACTGTGGACAACTGACTTGTGTGCATAATGTCCTGTTGTTCCTTCATCAGCTTGCTCTTGCTCTGAAGCCAGCTTGCTGCCTGAGGTTGTGGTTGAACGAGAAGGTGCTCAGGGTCTTGGGGGCTGTGTAGCACCCCTCGCTAGCCTGGTGTATGGATCCGTACCTCGCAGCTCCATTGATCCGCGTCCCGGCGCAGTTAAAAGATGATCGCTCGGTTCTGATCTATCCAGCCAGATCCCCTTTGATCCCTCATGACCCAGCTAGATCTTAGCCATATGTAAGCGACCAATTGATGAGATTTTCAAGAGCGTAGCTGCTCTCGAGAGGTGAGAAAGTAGCGCTGTGATGATACAGGTTTGCATTTCACGTTAGAGAGGAGCTGGAGCCAGGTCGATTGGCTTCTAGAAGTGGAGCAATTTCATCTGCCAACAACTTTCAGGCTCTAATGTCCGGCTTCTGGAAGGTGCGTTTGTCCTAACGCAGGGGACCCTCCCGAGTTTCGTGGGGGTCATCATCTCCAAGTCTTTGCAGACGTGGTCATCACCCCTGCGATACACCACCCCACATTTATACAGATCAGGTTGCGTCTTCCTGTCTTCCTAAGTTATCTAGGTGCCTACCTATGTGCCTTCCACATTAGGTATCTGCTACAAGAAAAAAAAAAAACTGGAAAAGTGCCAATAAGCAATAAGCCTTAGAGCTGTCGTCGGCACTATCGATATTTTAACATCTGGTTCCGAAGCCGGCAGAAGATCGTCATGCACAAGATGCAAGTTTGGCGACCCCACGATTTGATCATTCGACAATGTCCATACATCTCATGACTGTAGACATTCTGTGCCGGCCTCTTAAAGGCCAAACAAAAAGACTGCGCGCTAGAGTATGTTACTCGATTATGTGGTTGTACAATCGTAGCTATATGACCTATCATCGCATCCAACTAGCAACGATCTGCCCGATAGACCAAAACTGAGCAGGATACCGATACAATCAGAAGTCCTTATGGCAGGTTAATGGTTAAGTCTAGCTCTTCAAAGACTCTAGTAGTAGTCAATTATACATTATCCACGGCGTACTTGTTCTGCTAGTTGTCAGCTGAGGCTCAACATTGTCGTCGATCAGAGCGGATCATTTCCCAGCTATGTTGAGGTACTCTGATTCCTGGGACAGGTAGGTGTCAGCGCGAAATTCCATTACAGCGGAAATGCAAGACCGCACATGCACCTCTGCTTAAATCTTTCAAGCTTGTTGAGCTGCCGCACTTTGTGATTTCCCCAAAACTTACACCGCGTTACCCTGCAAATACATGCCAAAATCGTAAGTAGCGTCCAGCGATAAGTCAAACGTATGAAACCAGCTATATCTCCCAATCGTAACGGAGCGGTGATTGGTTGGCAGGTTTATTCGTAGGCTCTTGGTCCCTTTGTACACCCATCATGATAGATTTCAGCCTCAACATGGGTACGAGCCTTGTCCTCTTCCCGATTCAGCATCGCTGCTGTTGCAGTATATCTGCCCCCTAGATGTCCGGCGGACAGTTGGTCAGGTCTGGACAGCGCACCCAAATGTTTGATGCAATTTTACCTCAGCACCTTCACAATAGTCATCAATAGACCTATTACGACACTGATCAGAGCACAGTTGATTACAGCACCGGAACACCTCGCGTTCCAAGGAATGAATTCGACCTTGTTTTCCCACAGCAGTACCCTCCTTAGTGGCTATAGTCTTCACACTCACTCCTGAGTGGCAATTCTGCTATGACATGATATTATTTCTAGGTAGACTGCTTCATGGTTCATTTTTGACATGCCGAGATGCCTTCGAGGCGACTAGCCTACTTTAACTCAAAATTCCCCTTTTCACCGGTCAATATCTTGCAGATCTAGCCGCTGGCACATGCGTCACGAATTCCAAGGTTCTTGGCTAGCTCCAATAATCCTGGATCCGTTAATTCAGAGCCCACTGGAGTTCCATCTCAACATAGGTATCTGAACTCGAATGGACTGTGAGCACAACCTACTTTCTAAGCACGCCAATACAGTTATCTGGTAGTCCCTGGTTTGTGAAATGCTTATAGTGTTTGGTTTCTGTTTACACCACCATGCAGACCATTACTTCTATGGCACTGTGGGCATGAAGCTCGGAACCGCAACACAAGAAGCGAAAACAGATTGCTATTTTCTCATGCTAATCTTCGACATGCTGCCTATGGTTTGTGAGCTAAATGTCAAGCAATGAACAACAAGTCCTCTGACCAGTCTTGTGGTACCATGCCTGGATGCTCCTGCGAGCACGCCCCTCTCCTTGTACACAGTGCCATGTCCAACATCACCGAGGCATGTGCTAATCCTATTCCCTGAACTTCGGCGAAAACAACACGTATTTTCACTGAAATAAACCAACTACCGATGCTTAGCATTTGCCACATCATCAATATTCCCAAGCAATATTTTGCCGTTCACGTCGTATGATGTCGATACGTGTTCTCTACAGGCTGTTCCAAGACGTCAGCAAAGGTAGCGCAATAAATGCCCACAGTTCTCTCCAGTAGAACATCAGCCATGTGTCAGGTGACCTTTTCTGGAAGCTGGCAGATAGACCTTATCATTCGTGCAGATTTATCCCTCTATCGGATTTACTGAATGCAAGTTTACGAATCGCAAGTGACCGACTGCGCCTAGATCAGTTGACACTTCAGCTTACCTGATTGATACTATACAGCATGACGGTGATGGATAAGGTTAGAAGAGATGTGAGATTGATAAACCTCTGCTGCTTCGGCTCAATATAATGCCCCGCCTGCACCATGCTGCCGCCCATGCTACCATTGGCTGGGTCCAACCCAGAACAGGATGGAAAAGCAATATGGACTCGGGCCCCTTGTGCATGAATTAAGCTTCTTACCCCTCACCTTGCACCGATCTATGCCCAGAGACGGAAGATGAGGAGGGTGACATCGTGGACCAAGAAATAGTCTCGACATTCCCTATAGATTATTCTTTGGTTATCCTCCTAGGCCATTAGTCACCTGGGTCCCTTTGGGTTATCGAGCCCCTCAAACGTTGCACTAGGTCGGCAGCTTGCGGCTGAACCGATCAAAACATGAACTGTGTGATTTCGGTAATACCAGAGTGGATGGAAACAACCACAAGAGGGTGTCCATCGCTTCATCAGGCAACCCTGAGCTGTTGCCATTTCACCGATCACGTCCTCCCAAATTCCTTTGTTAATTTATGAATGATCGAGCCAGCCAAGCAGGTCACGTCTACAGCAAGCACAATCTAAGATATACTTGTGTACATGCATGACAAGACTCATTTGTCCACTGACTCGATTGCAGTATATCCTTAACCTACACACGCGAGATGTTGGCGGGACCTATAGTTCGGGTTTTGAAACAAGGGAGCAAACACAGTCCATCCACTCCGCTAGCGGAGATGCAACCCATCACTTTCCCGGAGCTTGGAGACATTCACAAGGATAATCCTTGTCCTTTTATCGGCGGCCCTGTCGCTCGAGGAGACCGGAATATCTCTCTAAGTTCCCCGGGCCTTTCCTGTGTAGCCTCTACCACAGAGCTGAAGCCCCGTGTCCAGTTCAGCCCACAGCGGACGCGACGGAACCTGCAAGAAAGATGCAGCAGATGCGTTGGCCCCAGAATTTGGGTGCCCAAACTGGGCCACACTGATCCCAAAGGACAGATGAGGGTAAGCTAGACTGGTGGAGAGCCTACGTTCCACGTCTCCATCCAAATGCCGGGAGCTCCATCCTCTTGGCGTCTTCCGAGGTCCAACGTCTAATCAGCACTTCAACTTCCAGGACGCTCAACTTGTTATCGGCGGATAGCTTCGAGTCGATCGCCCAAATGTCATCTTCGTCTCGCCAGCGTCTGCGGACAAGTCATCAATTCCGATCGCGGGCAACCACGAATGCAATGTCTCGTGATCAAAGCCCAGGCTAGAGTGGAGGAGAGCAGCAGGAGTTCAGGAACAATCCAGTCGTCCGTCTCAGGCCCGCTCCAGGCGCTCCCGCTTTCTCGACAGCTTCGGTTTGGACTGATGAGCCAGATCAACCGAGAGACTGTGGTTTCCCTTGGATGGAGGAAAAGAGACGAGCCAATCAGGGAAAGCAAGTCGTCCTCCAACCTGCCAGAAAGTTGTTCTTGCAGGAAGAGGAATGGTCCAGCAAGCGCGCTTCCCGACTGTTCTGCGTCGGAGCTGTCATTCGGATCATCCTACGGTCCTTCGTCTTCTCGATTTTCCTGGACGCTCGAGCAGCCAGTCATCTCAACAATCTGGAAGTCAACAGCACCATCTTGACACCAGCTGACCGCCACGGACATTGGCTCCTGGTTCAATCTAGTGTCCCCGCTGAATGACGTAGATCCAGGCGAGCGGGAGCTTGCAGCCGGTGAGTACATACATCGAATCTCGCTCCAAAGTAAAACAATGGATGGATCTGCAGCCGCACATGAAAGGTTTTGCTGGGTTTGTTGTCAAGCGTCAAGCGTCAAGCGTCAAGCGTCAAGCGTCAAGCGTCAAGTGCTTGGGAGAACAGAGTCCTCTTTTGTGCGGCTACTGTTGACAGGCAACGTGCTGGCAAGCAGAAGGGTAGCAGTCTGGTTTTGTTAACTAGTGGCGACAGTGAACTCCCCGATTCCAAAAGCTCCCCCATGGTCTTGCTTTTTCTGAAGCCTGACCCTGTGTCTTGTTTTCTTCGAAGCACTGTGTCTACTTGTAGTTTACCGGCGACATTTGCCTTGTCCGCTTCTGCTGCATATTACAGCCCCCTTTCCTCTTCAGTGTGTCAACCATGGACCTCAATTCAGCATCAATCCACGACGTCATCCACCCCACAGCTGCCTTCTCGCAGAATTCACCGCCGGCTAATCACCCCACAGACCCGCCCGAGGAGGTTCCCTGGTCAGAGTCCCAGCTGAACCCGAAGAATCGTGTCAACAGTCTCGACCCGCCCCAGAACCCGCGATGGCGGATCGACGGCTCTACAGGGCTGGGGACCCAGTTTTACGCCTTGCCCCTCAATGCTGGCCCCCTGCCGCCAATGCGCTTCGACGTGTTTATCCCCGAAGAGGCAGGCCTATCGCCACGGCTCCGGGAGATCTTAAGCCTGAACGCTGCCTTTCATACCAAAGATGCAGACAGAGTAAGAAGGCTTGGCATTACCAACCACATCCTACGTCGGCTTCAAACCTGGATGGCAGGAGAGGGAGAGCTGAAGTCGTTGTACGAGAATCTGCCGTTCGGCTCTCGCATTATTCTCGAAAACCTGGATCTGGACCTGAGCAAAATGCGCATAACCGTCGCCCCCACATACTATCTCGAGAAACAGTTGCTCGCGTTGGCGAAGCTAGACAAGGCTCTTGGGGTCCCCTCTGAGCAGCTCCCACAGGCTGTGGATATTAAGAACCTTGTTATTGTCCAGCAGCTTTCCGACAGTGTGTGTATCGTGCGATTGTCTCCAGGGAAGACCGACGACGGCACAGCGCATGGCAATGACAAGTTATGGATTCTAAAGGCCTTGACAAGCGGTGTCAAGTATATGTACGTTGAGCTGCGCAATTTGCTGCTGATGAAGCCGCATCCGAATGTGATTTCGAGGCCCGACTACCTTGTCACCAAGATCTGCAGCTTTGGAGGAAAGAGAGCAGTGGTCGGGTTTATGCTCCCTTACCATTCTGGCGGAGGTCTGCGTGATATGCTCCCTCTGTTGCGGATCAATGGCCGCTTGACCATGGATATGCGGCTCAAATGGGCGATACAGCTAACCTCAGCTGTGTTACATGTAAGGGAGGAAGGACGCATGTTTTATCCCGATCTTCGGCTCGACAATATTATCCTATCGGAAACCGGCGACCTTATTATGGTTGACTTTGAGCAGCGCGGTGTGTGGTGTGAGTTTGCCGCGCCTGAAATCAACGCGATCGACTTCATCCGCATCCTGGCTACCCGCAGCGTGGGTGACAGTGGTAACAACGGCAACGAGACAGGCATCCCCGAAGATACCCGCAAGTATTATGCTTCGATTCTGAGCAAGCTCATGCCCGACTGGGAGAAACTTCAATCTTGCGAGGAATATCCCCCACTAGATGGCGCATACCAGAGCTATATCATCCCATGGCTGTGCCTTGACGAGCGAGAGCAAGAAGCAGCAGAAGTGTTTATGCTTGGTCGAGTTCTGTGGTGCATTTTTGAAGGACAGAGTGCTCCTCACCACGTGACACCTTGGCAATCGTACCTCCGTGAGCCGGATATTGAATTCCCTGCCTATCGGTACACACCGGTTGTGCTGAGGGATCTCATCGATCGCTGCACACGGGGTAGGCGACCGGGACTGTCAAGTCTAATTGTCCGACAAAAAAGCAAACTGGTGCTGCGTGGGACAGTGGGGGAGAGCAGCCCAGAGGAAGTCATGAAGGCTGCGAGGGAGTACTGGCGCGCGGAGGTGGAGGAGGCAGAGCGCTTCGTGTGGTTGAGGGAGGAGCGAAAGCGGCAGGGGGCATGGGACGGTAATCATTTTGGACGGCCACGACTTCGGGAGGTGCTTCGTGAGTTGCAGGCATTTCGTGATGCGTACAGCTGACGTTGCATTATAGCGACTGGATGACGTGCATGTAACCACGAGAATCTTAACGACGAGCTGGTATTGTAGAGCTGTGGATCAAGTCAAAAGCATTCACTGGGAACTCAAGGAGGTAAAATATCGAATAATAACTATTCATCATTCTGTTGTGGGAGTTCTGAGCGCCTGTATGCAAATGTGACCAATCGTGACTCAGACGAGGAATGAGCTCCTGTTCACCCAACTATGGCCGTCCAAAATATGGTATTCTCGAAGAAGAAAGAAACAAAATCTGTTTGAATTTTACATCTTCCCCAAAATGAGTTGATGAGTGTGCGAGCCAGTCGCTTCCCATTGTTAACTCTCCAAGTATAAATCTCTTAATTATTGAACCCTTCAGACATTTCCACCCCAACCGATAAGCTCCCTCATAGACATCAACTCCCCCTAGGCCTCTTAGGCGACGTCCTCCCACTCTCAGCCTCAATCCTCTCCACCGTCCCGCCGCCTGCAAACTCGGCACTCCCTCGTCGCCCTCCAGCCACAACCCCTGAACCGGCTCCAACCGAAGGCGTATCCCAAATTCGTGTCTCATCATTAGCTGACCCTGGAGCAGGCCGTTTCCCCCCCCGCGGACCAGATGTCTTACTGCTTCTGCTGGTCCCTGTACTGCCCCGTCCTCGGCCTCGTAGACCGCGGCCTCCCCGGCCGCGGGTGAGCGAGGTCTTGGGGGTTATGGGGGCTAGGAAGTGGAAGTTCCCTCCGGAGGAAGAGGAGGTTGAGGTACGGGTGGTGAATTTAGGTGGGGGGGAGGGCTTCTTTTGGGGCTGTGAAGGGTGGGGATGGAGTTGTGGTTGGGTGGAGGAGGCTGAGGGGGTAAGTTGGACGGGTGCTGGGGATGACTGAGCGGTCGGAGAGATGTTCAAGGGCGGAGTTTGACCCATGGATGGGGCGCTGACCGTGCTGGCTGACCCGACTGTCCCCGGCTCGGGCTCCGGAGGCCGGTACCGCCTCATCCTCGCGACCAGAGCGCTCATTTCTTCAGCCCACTTTCCCCCTGCCCCGCGCTTACCGATAACCTCCATGACCCCGGCTAGGTCCTCGGCGAACTGGCTTTGCTCAGGCAAAAGTGCAAGCGCGTTCACGGCGAAACTTGTATCCTTTGCATCGCCGATCAGGAGACGGTATAACTCCGGGTCTGAGTGCGTCGCCACACTGCGAAGGATATGCACCAACGCCTGGGCGGCTGACGCTCGTGAGACGGGGGGTAACGGGGCTGTCGAGCGAGTGAGGAGTGTCTCAATGCGTTTGACGCAGCGCTGGATTTGAGTTGCTGCCCAGGGGGCGTTGCGAGGGCCTTCGGCTTGTTTAAGAGGGTTGCGCTGGGATGATGATGGGTAAGAGGATAGTTCGAATAGGACGCGGTCCACGCGGTGCTGGATTTGGCGGAAGGGGTCTACGGCTGGGTCGAGAAGGGGGTCGAGAGCTGAGCGGAGCCATTCGGTTAGGGAGTGGGATGCTAGGAGGAGGGAGATAAGGGTCGAGGCGAGGTCGCCGCGGTGGATGAGGGACCTGTCGGAAGAGGGAGGGGGTTGGGGGGTAGGCACCTCGTGAGGGGGGATGCCAGCTAAGGAGGCGACAATGTCGGCAGCTTCGCGGAGGCGGGACAGGCTAGGCGGAGAGGAGTCGCTGTCTGGGTCCGAGATGTTGCAGCGCAGGGCATCGGCGAGCACGTCGAGACGGAGCTGGGAGATCTGATCGAAAGGGTCGCCCAGCTCTTGTGGGTAGCCGTACTCGGTCAGAGTGAGCTCTGAGTCTGGGTCATGATCGAAGAGGGTCTGTTTGGCGATACGGTCAAACAGCCAGATGAGGTGTTTACAGGGCCGGACGCGCCGATAACGCGCGTCGGGACACTCGCAACGGGGGATCGCAAAGCGCCCACTGCTTTTAGCACCGATGCGGACGGAACAAGGCACTGTTTCGTGTAGTTGGAAGGCGTAAAAGTAGCCGTTGCCGTGTGGGTCTTCTTGTCGGATGCCGCAGAGCTCGAGAGAGATTTGCGGGGGGTCTCGTGAGGGGGATTCTCTGAATAGGCTCTTGACCACCTTCTTGGTCCTTGGAGAAAGCCGCGAGATGTTGTAGCGGAAGCCGGATGGAGAAGTCACGATGTCTGTGTCCTCCTCCTCGTCATCGTCCTCACCACTCTCCCAGTCGCTTGGATCTTGCTGCCACTCGGATGGACTGGAGCGTTGTGATGGCACCCAGGAATGCTCCCGAATGCTGTCAGAATCCGACTCGAGAGAAAGTCTGCTCATGTCTGCTGTCGGGAGGGCTGGCATTGAGGAGGATGATATGGGTAGAGGTGGAATGGGTAGTACGTGGGTTGAGATGAGAGGACCGTGGCATGATGAGAAACGTCTACCAGCAAGTATATATACCACTTACCGACTCGGCAGCCCGTCCCCGGCATCGTGGAAGGCCCTGCATGCCGAAAGGCAGAGGAATGGGCGAAATCGAGGCGGGAAATCCATCAGGCAGTCTGGAGGTCCAGGGGATGGCGGAGGGGGACGCCATCAGAAATTAGATGCGGGCCTCATTGTTTGGCCAGCGAGCCACAGCCATGGTCCATGGGAGCCATGATAGCAATAGGGAGGGACTCAGAATGGGGGAGGCGAGGAAAGGCACGGGGACGCAAGTGCAGTCCTGCCTAGCTTACCGTAAGTAGAGAATAAGAGGACAGTACCTGCAAAATAGACAAGAGACGGCATGCCGCTGAGCGCTGAGCAGCGAGCACGACTAGTACACGATGCGGCCCTCTATTTTGGGACTTCACAGAACTTGGGCATGTGCATTGGTGAGCAAAAACCGAGACGAAGTGTAGTAATAGACTCATGCGTTATCCGTTTGCGGTCCTCGCGCCGGCCAACGTGTCACTCGATCAGCACGATAAATCTCAACGGTCAACCCCGATAGCGACTAGTGGCACACGGTCCATACGGATTGGTGCCCGTTGCCCAGGTGCGGGACCCTTTGTTGGCCGATCATCCGGGAAGGGAAACGTCTGCCCGGCTGCGGTTCATGTATGAAGCTCAGATTCACGATCAGAGAGCAGCGCGCGCCGGGTGTTGTCCAATGACTGTCCTTCTTACTGTGTCCGCCGCAGCTTCATCCGGAGTCTGGACCGCGATTGAGAGGTATAATCGCCAAACGGATCCACCACACACAACCCCACAGACAATGGACCCACTGGCAAAGTTCGACAGCAGTGGATTTGTGGCTTGGACCAACCTTTGGCCGTTGTTCACTGGCCTGGAGCCAGGATGCGGATTCACTGCCAGGGAGGCCCATTTTTGTGGGCTTCATCTGCGCCACAGAAGGCATGTGCTGTGATTGGCTGGTTCAGCCACAGCCCTGCGGGTTCTCGAACATCTCCCACTCAAAATGTCCACACGCCTTTCAATTTGATTTTGTGCCTTGCCAACAGTACTGCTCAAACGGCTCCGCCTCGTCATGAATTTTTAAAACTCGATGCGGCCACATCTGCGGCCCGGGTGAGTGCTCCATCATCTGCTTGTTGTCAATTGATCCTGAGTCCAGCTCAATTCTGTTAACCAAGGCACTGCCTCTGGCTTCTCCCAGGCCAACTGACAATATCCAACAGTCGTATAACCATTTGCACTTATATTCCCGTCAATTGAACAAAAGAGAAGGTCTTTCTGTTGTGTTGGCACAGTCTGGCTGGTTTGTGACGCTACCTCAGCCTTGCGCCCCGCTCGAGAATGTCACAGATGTACATATTGTACCCAGTCTTGGTACCAGCATCTTTACCGAAAGAGACGGCAGCAGCTTCGTGGTCCCGTCCCAGTCACAGTTGTCCAAGGATTTCATATTCTCGCTGACCCGGCCTGGCCGTCGCCCCGCATAGCGAGGGAGACTGCTCCGCGCCAGACCGAAATGTCTTTCAAGGTGAAGCTTGTCAATTCTTCTGTTTGGACATTAGACGCATGCTTCTCACAATAGCTGAAGCGCTTGGGACTTGCAGTCAATGTGCACAGTATGACTTGGACGCATCGGTGCCATCGGCCCGTGTGATGATTTGGCATATTCTCACACAATGATTTTCTGTCCGCGGCATGGCTTCCCGACTCAGCTCGGACGGCCAGACTGGCTGGACAAACTCCAACAAAGACAAAAGATGACTGATTGGTGTCGGCTCATCCACTTAGGATTGTTTGTCTGGCTGGCTCGCACTGAGAGAGATGCACGTTGCTGGGCGAGCAGCCGGTTGTCGAGGCCGAGGCTATGTTTCCATTCGAACATCCAGCTCATCCTGGCTTTCCAAGAATATCAAGCCGTCGCGCAAGCTATCGGCTAGATGGGTGCAAGCAACAATTCTCGGGCCGGCATCCGTCGATCTTGTCATAGGTCCTTAGATAGGTGATGTCGGTAGTCTCTGTGAAAGTGAGTAGGTGTCTATGTGGCTGGCAGCTCTGCACCTCGATTTCTCTTCATATCCGGTATTTCCATAAAGCGCATAAGCGCCCATCTCACTCAGCAGGACTTCCATCACAAACTGTCATATCCAAGTTAGGCAACTAGCCAGTGTCTTCTCGCAACACCTGCTCTCGTCAAAATGCCTTCTCAGGAAGATATCTGGTTTATCAAACAGCAATATTCGACCACAATGCAACCATTTCAACCGTCAGAGGGAGACAGTCGCAAGTTTGTGCCGACGATGTGGGAGAAAGTGGATATGGATGTGCCGGACATGCTACGGTTATGGCTAACACACCTGTCATCAAGCCACGCGCATGATGTTTTTCTGGCCTTCCTGGCTGCAAGCCCCACCTTCCATTTCTAGAATCAGCATTCTGTTTGGTTGGCTTGGATCGGTAGCGGATGCCAGGGGGAGAGAGGGGACAATGGGGGTGGGCGAGGGGAAATTTGGGAGGGGCCCGTGCATGCAAGTTCGAGGCAATGCCACATGGCGCCGCGGGCGTCGGACGTCAGGGACTGGAGGGTTGAAACGCAGATCATTGCGTGGTCTACACCCTAATCCTCACATACACGTTCTTGACCTGTACCCAGGGGTTAATAGGCAAGACGCGGTTGACGATGGGCGAGTCGGGGAGAAGACTGGCCAAAGACATCAACAGATTCCTCGAGAAGGACGACGGCGAGCACACCGTGCATATGCATGAGGACATTTCCGTACTTGTAAGCCAGACCTGCCCATGTCTTCCTTCTCTCCTTTAGCCTGTCTGCCGAAAGAAGCGGTGAAAAGGCTATGAGAGGAAGGGCCTCGAGGTAGGGAGAAAGGCTCGGTTCGAGGTTTGTGTCCGAGTCAAGCAAACATCGGTGTAGTGTGAGGAGAGGAGGCTGGCTCGAAGTCCGGTCAGAGCTCAAGCACCTATGATCGACGAAGGTGACAAGATAGTTTAACAGTGAGGCTGGCTGTATGAGTATGAGGATTGGGTGAACTGGACTGACCATCCGTTCGAGAGCTTGACCGGAGAAGAGCACCAACATCGACCTGCTGGGAAGTTAAGGGGCTGAATATATACGCGACCCCAAGTACGCACAATTCTGGAGAAAGAAGCTGCCTCCGCTAACATGGAACCAACAGCAGACTAGTCAGTTGCATCTCATCAGTTTCCGAGCCATTGCGCAGTGGTGATTCGCTGCATGACGAGGAGAGTCGAGTGTTAAAAGATTAGGTTAAGATTAGCTTGAGTGTTCCAACGGCTCCTGACCACGGCTGCGGGACCGTTAGATCGAGTCTTGGTGCGTCCCAAGCTTCGTGCTTATGCAAGCTAGGCAGGCAGGTGAGCCCTCCTTTGCCAGGTCTAGAAGGATACCCGGCAGTAAACATACCTAATCCATAGCCAACAAACCAACAGCAAGGCCCAGGTCCGCAAGCCGAGTAGTCGGTACCGAAACAGGCATCCCAATCATCATGATTCATCTACACCTTTTCACTGGGGGTGTATCTGCAGAACTATGGCTATCAGCCTCGATGATCTTTTCCCCTCTCTACGGCAAGTTGAACATGGCTGAAAATGCCAGTTAATAGCCGTTGGCAAGTATAATGTTTGCTCTGACAGTCCAACCTCCGTGGAGAGACATTTCTTATTTCTAACTTGGTGAACAGCGGCCCTATCGTTCATTGGAGCATACCTGCACGTGGCCAATCCGTCTTAGAATTGGTCAAGCCACCAATTACTCGTAATCATTGGAGTTCAATAGCAAGAGGTCTCAGGGAATATGTAGGCACAACTTTAGATTGCACGTTCATGTAGATTCCTTCAAGAATATCTAAGAAACCGTGAAAGGACCTGGGAGCTGAAATCTTTACAAATTGCTCTGACTACATATAGGCTCGCAGATGATTTGTAAGTACGTAAGGAAGTGGAAACCTGCAAAAAGCCGTAGGAAGAAAGGATGGAACAGGTCAGCAGTTGAGCGCCCAGAGGAGACACTGGACGGGATTAGCTGGTCAATGTTTGGCTTCTCCATCTCCTAGCTTTTGAGCTGCTCGTAGAGTCCCCATTTTGCCAGTTGCTTTTGCACATCTCCCATGCAATCCGTGATGCCTAAAGCACCAATCTGGCCAGTCTTGCCAAAACCTCTCCAACACGTCATTACGAATATGCTAGACATCTAGACATCTTGCCACAACCCAGAAGAACGAGTTTCGTGTCACCAGACCGACTGGTTTGACACCAAAACTGCAATACGCATGCTTCACAATCGTGTGACATCGTTTAGTCAGTCAAGCAAAACATTACCACTTCATGGATTGGTTATCTTTAAAGTTTGTGATAGTCTGTAGGCAGTCCTGAACAAGAATTGATACCTTTGATATCAGGTCAAGAAAGGACGAGAGACCACACACGTTTTTCCTGCCAACCTGCGCATTCAATTCATGCATGAAACCTGAATCGCTGAGGTTCTTAACCTCCTGTTTGCCATTTATATCGCTCTTCTTTAGGCAACCCCTTCCCGGATCTTGACCGAGCATCACTTGGCCAGGGATAATGCCTGAATTGGTGAGGGACAGACAGTTTCCTCTATCCAGCATCTGCTTTGCATCCTGAATGACTGAGATCGTTCCAACAGTTGACACAATAATCCTAAGGGCCTGAGAATTTGGAGAATGTGGCTCACACAGCCGTGTAACCAAGGCATGAGTCGGCATTATCTCCTGGGTTCTCTCTAAGTACTCTCTTTCAGAACTGTCATGGCGGGCTAGCTGATGCTCTTGTGCAGAAACTCTTGGTTAAACATGGAGTCCAGTGAGCTACCATCTTTTTCTACACTTGATCATTTCCTGGGTAAGGGGGAGGGGGGGGGGAAGGAGGGGGGAGAGCATATGCGAAGTGCATCCATGGTCACAGCTGCTGCAAAAGCAAGCGATGTACAGCATGCACAGTAAACACTTTGTAGCCTGGATAATCCTGTCAATTTTGCTGACAATGAATGAACATCGGTGTTCCTTTGAATGTTGAGCAGCCATAGATGTTCATTCCAAACACAACGTTAGCTTGCTCAAAGATGTACAGTCTTCCCCGAGCTACCACACACAACGATATAGGAAACAGATAACTCCTGAATAATCAGGTTATCAAGAAGAAAGAAAGCAAGGGCAAGGTTGACAACCGAGTTCCTAAGACGTTTCACCCTCTTTCCTCCCTCCTCTCCCCCCCATGTCTTGTGTCTTTGAGGTCCTCAGAAGATGCCCCAGAGCACTTGTTGTCTACCGTTGTTCGCATAGCAGGACATGACGCCCTTGGCACCAACTTTGCCATTTCTGGCAAACTTCCTGACCGAATCCCTGATGAGATCCTGAACATCTTCTCCTCCAACATCGAACCATATATTGGATCCAGAGCCAGTGGATTCAACGCCAAAACGGCAGGTTGCATGTGATGCAATGGTACGGTGTCTGCCTGTCGAAGTTCTCCAGCTAGTGGTTGGGTCACCTTGGATATTGCGGATGATCTGCAAGCAGTGGTCGACGAGAGGTGACGCATTGCTGGTCTGGTCAACAAAGGTCGAGGCACCACAATGGTTCACAGCACGAGGACTCAAGGCGTCACGACGAGTCGGTCCCCATTCTGTGACATTCCAAGCTGCTGAATCGTCACGGATAACGTGATCAGCATGACCCTGAACCGAATTCTCTCTGGCAGGGAGGGACTTGTCGCTAACGGGGATAGACATTCCGAGGGTGCTGGTGAACAAGGGGTAGAAAGCCCAGAGGCCGATTTGGAACAGGGGCAGCTTCATTTTGGTTCTCCTCGCTAGGCCAAGTTTTCTCAGTCAGAATTTTGAAACAAAATGGTTATTTGAGATCGGCGTGACGAGCTGTGTGTTGATCCCAGCTGTAGAGGATTCTCTTCATCCTTATATCCCTTTTTCAATCCTCTTATAGCCACCACCAGTCAGGTGTGAGAACTGCCGACTGCGAGGTCAACTCAATGGCTCTGAGCAAAATCATCACTTGAAGGATTGAATCCTCCTTGGGAAAAATCCTTCTCAAAGGAAGAAATGAAGGATCTTCGCATGCTATTTCAGTAAGCGGGGTAACACTTTTTTCCTGGAAAGTACACTCTAGCCCACAGAAAATCTGCATCCAAGAATCGTTGTTACTTCTATTCTTGCTCGAAGTGACGACTCCATGTAAGTATATTCCGGAAACTGAGATCAGGATAGAACGAGGCTTCAACGGAGGAAGCTAGTAAACCCCCTAAGTAACTGGTAGAAGAGGCCAAGGAGTTATATACAGCTTTATGTAACGTTGTTACTCAGGTGTTTAGGCCTTAATACATTGTATCTGAATATAAACACACATAAGCAGTACGAGTCATCATGAGGTACATCCCCTGTGATACCATGGAGGACTCTAACCTTGATGAGTTGATATCTTGGCGGTGACCCACAGAACAGCCCGCAACAAAAAGAATCAATGTTCTGATAGTCCATTTTTGAGTCAGAAAGTTTCCAGGCACCCGATCCTCTGGAATTCAGTATTACCCGAGCATTCCATTACCACCAAGATCTACAGAGGAGAGTGGCATTGAAAGATTTCTATACAGACACAACGTATCGGCTATATTGAAAAACCTCAACGAGCTCCTCACCTAAAAACGAGGTTATGTTCCCATTTTGCGGCGCGAAATCCTGTTCACCGGGATCTTACAGACACAGCTCAGGATTTTCTAAATGCAAGATGCCAATTGTGATGGATCGGTTAAAGTGGGCCAATTTGGCTAAATCCGACTGTGTAAGGAGACATGGAAATATCAAAGGCATGTCAGTAGGATCCTGATCACTTGACTTGCAGCATTCTGGCAACAGGGGCTCTACTTGGAGGACTCAAGCCACATGTCCTCGGTAGAAAACTGCGAGACATAGCATTCAAGTTTGTCAAATGCAGAATATAATTGAGCAAGTTGCACTTCGTGCAATGGACGCAAGCCCTATCTCCATCCCCCTTCCAAGCATTTCTGACAATAAGGATGTGAACCACAATTGTGATGATGAATAATCTTGAAACTTGAAGAACAACGCTGCAGAAAAAAGTAATAGATAGGAGAGGAGTACTGCTCAAGTGTACATGTTAATAGCTGTGGTTAGTAACGAATCCTGCCAGGAGCTGGTGTAGTCTATACCACAGAGATCTGACTAACATCCTTTGGTAAGCAAGGACAGATCTCATGATGCGAGTGGTGATATTTTCGCGACTCTGTCAGGTATATTTTGACCTTGAATGAACGCTGGAGCATTTTTTTAGGTACTTGAGAATGTGTAAAAGTTGTTAGACATGCAAACACAGCACCAGCTCCATGTCGCATGAGGTGTCGCCATCCTCCTTGAACTACCACGTATCGACCTTAACAGTATAGAAAATGAGCAGGATTGGTCCTGCATTCGACTGCTCAGAAGATGCCCCAGAGCACCTCTTCTCTACCAAAACTTCCCGAGCAAGACATGACGCCTTTAGCACCAATCCTGCCGTTCGATCTGCGGAACTTTCTAACTGAATCCCTGATGAGGTCCTCAACATCTTCTCCTCCAACGTCAAAGAAAATATTGTTCCCTCCGCCATTGGATTCCACACCAAAATGACAGGTTGCATGCGATGCAATTGTGCGGTGGCGGCCCGTCGCAATTCGCCAACTTGTTTTTTTGTCACCCTGAATGTTTCGTACGATTTGCAAACAATGGTTGGCGAAAGGCGATGCATTGCTAGTCTGGTCAATGAAGGTAGAAGGACCGCAATGATTCACAAGGGGACGCAAGGCATCGTGTTCAGTTGGAACCCAGTTGCTGACATTCCAAGCTGCGGATTCATTGAAGACACTGTGATCATTGTTGGGTTGCGGAAGCTGGGCAATAAGATCCGTGGCTCGTTCTTTGCTTGTAGAGTGCAACTGGGCCCGAGGGTGGATGGTCATGGCAAAAGTATTGCCAAACGACAACCAAAGAACCCAAAGGAAGATCTGGAACAAAAATAGCGGCATGTTGGCTGTCCTAGATGGCCACTTTTACTCAATCTGAAAGCTGAAATGTTAACGAAGTGGCTTTTTGAGTTGGTTGTGGTGAGTTGTGTGTCCACTTGGTCTGTAGTCTGTAGAGAAGTTATCGAGTCATTATATACTTTTTTCCATGGTCAAAGGCCACCTTATATCAGCTCCGAAGTTGCCAATATTGTTGCACTTAGGTATGTAAGGGCATGTTACCTGGTAACAGGGCACCGAACTTATCTGTCTCGTGGCTTTGAGACACTGAAACAGATGCTTTACCTCTTGGAATGACGGACCATAACTTCGATCCAAGACAGCTAAACCGCAGACTTTTTTTTCGGAAAAAAGCACACTCACATCTCGATTGTATTTAGATGACCGCAGTTAACTCGTTCTGTGTTCCGCCTAGGGATATGAGGACCTATTACTGATCGCGAATTTCTTAAATAGATTTCAAGTAGATGGGTAGGTATGTAAGCTTTATATACCTTCCAAATTTATCAGGCCTCTATGTAGCACGGAAGACATTCAGAACCTGAACTATTGCTTATCATCGACTCGGACATATCGTCACAGTCTCAGGCCTGGCATATTACAATTGGCTCCGACCTTGAAGCGGTGTCGGGGCACTCTTGGATACCGGAGGGTTGAACAAGCAAAAGCTAGTGAGTGATGCATTCACACACACAATATTGTCCTGTCCGAGATCCTCACAATTCCAACCGAGATGTTCTCAATAACTCCAGTTTGGTGATAAGTGAACGGCGACGAAAATAAGGACAAGAAACACAAAAGATGAAAAGAAAGATAATGAAGACTAGATCGACAACTGAGCTTCGTGGGAGAGTCTGTTCGCTATATATCATACCCCAGAAGCAGTGTTATATTCCCAAGTAGTTCAAGAGATGCCTCATAACACTTCCTGTGTGGCACTAGATGCTGCGTAATGGTGTGTTGGCCCGAAACTGTGTAGACTCGCCAGCTCGTGCTTGGGTCACCCCGGATATTGCGGATGACCTGCAGGAAGTGCTCAGCAAAGGGGGTACTTCACTTCCATGCTTGACGAAGATTGGTGACACGCATGAATCCTGTCCACAAGACTGCAGGATGTGATTCTTGCTTATGTTTTGCTCCAGAAGATCTACGATAAAGTGGCCTTCAATAGAGCCTGGAAGCTGAGAATTTGGGAACCTCGCGGTGTTTTCAATCATGGATAGTGACTGATCCCAATGAGGAATGCTCGGGGTGAAAGCACTGCCAAACAAGAGGGATAGCCATAAAAGAAAATATGAAAAAGAAGCAAGCACATTTTGGCTCACTGGAACTTGTTCAACCGAAGCGTGGCTGATTCAATGATGTTGATCAAGGGTGTTTTGGTTCTGTGATGGAATACGAGCTGAGCCCTTGAAAAGCCAGGGTGCTCTTTGATTTTTTATGTGTTTTCCATGGGATTTAAGAGTCACCATGTGTTTGCTAGCTACCTAGGCTATGCACTATATTGACAGCTCATCACGGGTAAGCAAAGATTAAAACCAGCATGAAACGGAAAAGAAGCAGACATGATGATAGAATACGTGTCTGAAAAAGAGGAAGGTAGTGCACTTCGATAGATCGGATATGGCTCAGCGTACAATCGAACATCAGCTGAAAAGCGTTTCTTCCCATGGCATAACCTGCAAAAGAGGTTATACAGAGGAAAATTTAGCCCCCAAAACTGTTAGGTCGAACACTCTTTTCCATGTCTCACTCTGTGTTGAGAACTATGCTACATAGTTCGGGGAAACTTGACCAATTACAATCCAAAACAGATGGCGGGAGATAACAGCCCTAGTGAGTGGTGTTAGTGTCCCTGACTCAGAAGAACCTGTGGTAGTCATCTCTATGCAAGCCATTCAAGCCTTGGATGTTGCAAGATGTGATAGGAACCATCAGTTGTAATTGTAATGGCTGAATGAATGTGTGCACTTGACAAAAAAAAAAAAAAGGCAAAGAAATAGAATCACAGCAATAAAACATTGGAATTTTTTGCCATGCAAAAGTCAAAACGTACATGATCAGGTATACAGTTTGGTGGCAGAGGACAACCTAGATCCTCCACAAAATAGGGGGCCAGATTTTCAACGTCATGACTACGGAAAGGATTGTATATCTTTTGCATTTATTTCCAAATGGAACATGCACTTCATCAAACGCAATGTAATTATGTGTCTATGCACCTTAGTCAAGCAAAAAAGACCACCGCGCAGCTCTCTTCAGCCGGTTCACGCCTGGTCAAGAGTCACTTGGCAGGAAGCTCAAAAGCCATCTTCCCCAAAAAGAAGGAACAGAATCTGGCTCAAAACCTGGCAGACTAAAGACCTTCTCTTGCTCATCCCAGTCACTTAATGCAGTAAACAAGTAACCCAAGTCCATCACGAAACCTGCTTCGCATTTTGGTTCATTTCATTCCATTATGATGTGTGAATCAATCCAGCCACCATCAAGCCAGACCAAACCAAGACCAAAACCAACCCAGACCCATAACGCCTAATATAGCAATAGCAGCAGCAGCAGTAAGCCCTGGATACACTGACAAACCCACAAGCAACACAACATAACACAACACAAGGTAGTAGTACCAGCAAGGTACTATATCACCAAAACCAGCCGGCAATGCTGCCCCTCCCCAGGCGAACCGCCGTCGAGGGTGCGGAGCCATTCCCCATCTTTCTCCTCCAAGACGCCTCCCCCCCCCCCCCTCCTCTCTTCCACACCCCGCCGTCCCTTACGAAACCCCACTCAACTTCCTAACCGCCTGTGCTACCGCCCCCGAGGCATGTCCATGGCCATGATGCCCGGCACTCCCAATCCGTCCACTCGTCTTCCTAACACCAGCCTCCCTAACCCCGGGCCCTCCGGCAACAGGCTTTTCTCCGGCCGCAGCGCCCCTCCTAGACGACGGACTAGTGCTAGCCCCCCTAACCTTGGTCAACACGGCCGATGATCCACCACCACCACTACCTCCACCTCCTCCTCCTCCAACACTACCAGAGGAGTTCGGGGCGGACGGCGTGCCGGATGCCGAACCGGAGTTGCTGTGGGTGTTGGCAGTGGCGCGCTGGACTTGGTCGTACGACTTTGTACGCGCCACAGCAGCACCGATGTTTTCGATGTCGTTAGAAGCGTCGTCGTGGTCGATGACGCGGTACTGGGAGCTCACGGCGCGGTCGCGGCGGTCCGGGGAGGCGGGCGCAGAGGCCTTGCGCACAGCCCTCATGCGGAGGTTCCACTCCTCGTCGGAATCCGCTCCTTGGGGTTGTTGCGCTTGCGCCTGGGCAGGTTGCTGCTGTTGTTGCTGGGATGCCATGATCTCGGCCTGGATCTGCTCGTCGAGGGCTTCCTCTTCAACGGTCTGCACAACACTAGTGCGCCGACCGTACGGGTGATGCCTGTCGCCGGCTCGCTTGCGTGGTTGACCCGGTGTCGGGGCGGGTAAGTAGTCCTCCTGGACGCCGATGCCGTTATCACGGGTGTCCTGGTCGATCTCACTAAGAGGGGTCCGGGCGGCCCGGCTCGGCGTGGCGGCGGCGTGCTTGCTGCTGCGAGTCTTGACGCCGCGGACCGGGGTGCTCGGAACGTTGGCAAGGCCAGCGGCCTGGGCGGCTTGGAGTTCCTTGCGCAATTTGCGCTCGATCTTCTCCTCGACCCACCACTCGCGGAAGACGCCCTGGTTGAGATGTAGCCAGTGTTGTTGCGGGCCGACGACCATGCCGGGGCGCATGAAGCGCATGAAGGAAATGACCTCGTTGGCGGTGAAGCCATAGCGGTAGATGAGGTAGGCGCCAATCAGGCAGCCTGTGCGACCAAGACCGGCCTTGCAGTGAACGGCAACGGCCTTCTTCTTGACCGTAATCATGTCGTGAGCCATGCGGATGAACTTGCGGACCATCGACAAGGGCGGGCAGGTGCCGTCCTCGAAGATCATGTCGACGTGCTGGATGCCAAGGGCCTCGAAGTACGAAGCGTTGTACAGAACCGAGTTCAGCCGGACGACGAGACCAACCTTGCGCTCGACGAAGTGCCTCAAGACGTTCTTGAACGGCTGGTTAATGTTCGGATCGGCGTCAACCGCGTCGAGCGTCTTGGGGAGCAGCTCCCAGCCGTCAGTGCCCTCTGGCGTCCGGGCCGAGGGAGTCGTCTGGGGAGAAGCAAAGGCAACAAAGTCGGAGGTAATCCAGTTGAAGTCGCCCTCGTCTACACGCTCAAAGCGCTCGTACTCGTCGAGGTCGAAGTTCTCGAGAATGCAGCAGCCTTCCTCTTTTGCCTTCCAGACGCCGTAGACGACATCCTGGACAGTGATGCCGTAGTCAGCCTGGCTATAGCCAGCGTCGCGGAACGGCATAAGCGGCGGGTCAACCTGCGCCACTGGGGCTAGGGCAAGGTGCGGCGGCCATGACTGGATCAGGACCATGTAGCACGCGAGCAAGCACGAAGCATTTGCGCGGCCTAGATGGTCAGTACTTGTCATCTCAAGAGATGGGTTTGTTTTTTTTTTTTTT